AACAGAATGAAAAAATCTGCCTGTGTGATCATTAGATACTAAAATTTATTAGTCATCAAAGCTTATACTAAACATGTATATGGTAAGTCTTCAGTCGTTTGTTTCAACCTCTCACTTCATCTTGAATAGTTTTGCATACTGGTTGTATAAGCCCTGTTATCATTCTAGGTAATTAGTTTGTAAATTGAAGTCTCCATAAGCAATTTAATGTCGCTGTTTTGCAATTGCTTTATGATGCTAACCAGTAAAAGATATCAGAATTATTTATTATCCATTATATAACTATGTGAAGTAATTTGGCAGTTGTTTTAACACTATGGAATAACACAAACCTTTATCAATCGCATTCAGCAACTATATGAAGGCGCCACATGCCAAGTAATTCACAATAGGAAGCTCAGTGATGCCTTTGAACTAAAGATAGGAGTAAGACAAGGCTGCCGCCTACTATCACCTATCATCTTCCTGATTACAGTGGACCGGATCATGCAACAAACAATGAGGAGCAAGATGAGGGGGATAGGCTGGATCATGGAAAAGAATCTAGAAGATTTGGATTTCCCCGACGATGATTTGTGTCTAATGCCACACAAACTTGGAGATCTACAAACGAAAACTAACAAGTTGACAGAAGAGGCAGGGTGAGGCAGCTAGGACGGGACTTCAAGTGAACTTGGAGAAGACAGAGGTGATGAAGACACCCAAACAACAACACCAAAAACAACGACAAGTTCCAATCACCATCAATGGCAGAAACTTGAAAAAAGTAGCCTCTTTCACCTATCTGTTTCAACTACAGGCGGTGATGGCACAGATGAGGACATCAAAGCCAGCCAAGATAGGAAAGCAAGACAGGCTTTCATTAACCTGAAACCATTGTGTAGATCTACCCCACTCAACACAAAGAACAAGATCCGGATTTTCAACACCAGTTCAGTAAAGTCAGTGCTTCTGTGTGGCTCGGAGACTTGGCGCGTTAAGAAAGGGATTTCCAACAAACTACGATCGTTACAAAAGATCAGATGGTCAGAAAGAGTAAGCAACCATGAACTCTGGCAACGAACCAACCAGGGACCTATCGCTGAACAAATATGCAGAAGGAAGGGTAGATGGACTGGACCTGGCATACACTGGGAAGGCCGACTAGGGACATCACGTGCCACGCCAGTCGCTCGAGTGGAACCCAAATGGAAAGCGACAAGTTGGGCGTCCAAGGTGAGGGTAACATGGAGAAGATCGTGTGAAGAAGAAATGAGAGTTTCTAGGCTGTCTTGGAGTCAGGTTGAAACGTTTGCAGAGAGTTGAGTACACTGGAGATGTGCTACTGAATCCCTATGTTCCATTAGGAACCCCAAAGGACAAATAATAATATAACATAACTATATAACTCTTGTAAGAATATTTCGACAAACTGAAAAGTCGTATTAAAGTTTCTTTCTTTTATGGTTCTATCATCAACTGACTCATCATGTGTTTCCACCATCTTGTTCCCATTTAGCTTGTGAGTGTTGTTTATGCCCACTTGTACCTATCATCAACTTAGAGTAGTGTCCAAACAAGCCGTTTTCAAAATGAACTCAGTCGTAAATGTAAATATCTTATGTTAAAGTCATCTATAAGCTGTAAAAACAAAGGGAACCCTGAGTAAATATTTTTTTTCTTAAGAATCTATGCCCAAAAATTTCAAATTCTCAATTATGAAGAGAATTAAGAAGGAATTATAAGCTTTAAGGTGATCTAAAAGATTAGAAACAAACAGCGTTTCTCACCAAACCATATTTATCTTCTAAAAAATGTTGAAGGTTCTTGATGTTCTCAAGCGTTTAGCAGAGGTTACCCCTACTCTGCAGAACTGACAATGCACACAGTCCTCTTCCAGAATGTGAGTAAAATCAGTTTTAATTATAAATGGTCATAGAATATCGAAGTTGTTCACTCGTGTTTAATTCTCAATGGTTAGGAGTGGTATTATACTACTTTTAAATTGTCTGTATTGTAACTATTTAACCAATAGACCTTATTCAAGTACCAGTCAATGGCTAAATAGCGCTTTGAAGCTTCAACACCCATCTTACATTCCCTATTTGAGGTGACGAAGACCAAACTGAAAAGAAATAGACAGTATGATTCTGAATTAAGTCGAAAAAGTATGAAATGAAATTAAGAGGTTGCTATATCTAAGCTTGATTCGCTGTGGGAACTTGAACCATTACTCAGTAATGCTTGACCCAGTGTTGATTTTCTCTGACTGTGTGCTTCTTTACTTGCTTACAACTATCCCTTACATATCGGATGGGTTTGTGACATATCCATGAAGAAAGTATTTTACTGTAAAATATAGCTGTGACCTGGGAAACTTCAGTCAAATTACAGAAATAGAATGAAATCACACAAAATAGTTTGATTATGGAACACAAAGTAATCAAGGAACAAAGATTCTGAGAACGACTTTATCACATCAAATGAAGGTATTACACCCCACTTGTTGCTTAAAGCTTTGTGACAATGCAGTAAAAGATTTGTAGAATGTAGTTGTGAACGCATACTAACATGACGCATGTTGGGTGTACCTTATGTCTTTACTTCACCACCTAATTTTGAGTCCACTTCCATTCCATCTGCTTTCGCAGATTCCTAGCACTCCTATGCCGTACCCCCTCATCTCTTTTGCAGTCTGGCAACCTTACTAGGTTCGTACATGGTGCGGACATTCCATGTCTCCATCCTTACGTTCGCTTTCATCGAGAGAAAACACATCGGCCAACTGGCTTCCTGAAGGCTTTCACCAACCGGCGTCATTTCGTCCCTCCGATTTCGGCGAGGAATAAGTTCGTTTTCATTTTTTTATACTTTCTTTGTGCTTAGAAGTTTGTTTAGCGATTGGATTGGTCTTCCGGAATAGGGTTGCTAGCCCTATGCTTAATATTCCGTTTTTACCCGGGCTTAGGACCGGTTAGTAACCAGTGAACTAGTTAACCAGACGAGGTTAACAGGAGAATCCTAAAGGAAGTAGTTTCTTTCACCTACCTAGGCAGGCAGCACCGTTTCAACTACAGGTGGCGACACAGACAAGAATGTCAAAACCAGGATCAGAAAAGCAAGACAGGCTTTCATCAATCTTAAATCAGTGTGGAGGTCTACTGCACTCAGCACAAAGAACAAGATCCGGATTTTCAACACCAATTCAGTCAAGTCAGTGCTGCTATGTAATGGTTCTGAAAGTTGGCGCGTCACAAAAACCACTTCCAACAAACTACAGACATTCATCAACAACTGCCACCTATGCTTACTCGACACTGAAGATCAGATCAGATGAGAAGGCAAGAGAGAATAAGCAACAAGAAACTATGGCTTGGCTGGTAACGAACTAACCAAGAACCTATCAACCAACAATTATGCAGAAGAAGAAAGTGGAGATTGATTAGACATATACTGAAAAGGTCAATTGGGGACATCAAGCTCCAGGCCATTCGATCGAGTGGAACCCAAAGGGGAAACGACGAGTTGGGCATCTGGGCCTAGGGCAACATGAAGATGATGTGAGGAATAAATGAAAGCTTGTGGGCAGTCGTGGATCGAGGTGCAAAAAACTGCAGAGAACAGAGGGGAATGGAGGCGTGTTACTGAAGCCCTATGTTCCACAAGGAACTCAAGGGAAAAATAATATAATAATAATTTATGAACATTGCGAAGGTAAAGAACTATGCGTTTAACCAGAGGAAAGTAACAAGTCAGACTAATAGTCCTGGTTCATCTAAGGGATGACTGAAAAACCAGGGTAAATCACTATCAAATTTCTTCCAGTCAGGTTCTAGAAAAAGTTTTATAAATTCAACTTATTGGACCTCTATTTCAGTATTTGGTTTATCATATGAGAATTGCATTATGCTTTGAGACATATATCGTATGATTATTTTGATATCACTGATTGATAGATTTCATTTACCAGATCACAGTGATCACATGTGATCAGAAATCACAGTTTGTTAACTTGTCTAAGTGGCTTCCTATGGAATTCCTGTTGACACCATAGTTGAACAGTAGAAGAACTATTCAGGCATCAGAAATATAAACGTGAATGACGGAATCTGCAAATGATTTGCAAACTGATCATCCTATTTGATGTATAGTTGCTCATTAAAGTCGGTTGGCCGGCTACATCCAAAAGATCTGAACAATTCAGCTGTTTCTGTCAGCTGATGAGGGTGGCACCAAACAAGCGAAATTGTAATATAGTGTCTACAACACTCTGATCCGGTTAGCGAAATGTATTCATCAGCCTGAGTAGTATTTAACTTATTGTTCAGTAGTATAGTTCGTTAGCACATTGCACTTTTATGCTGGAAATCATACCTTTATTTGGATGGTTTCCAAAGGAAGTTTTGACTGACACTACAGTTAGGTAGTTCTAAAACCCCTTTGGCTGTGGGAAATATCTATGTGGATCACACATTTGCTAATTGACATTCATAACAAATTAATTTTTCTTAGTCTACGTTTACATCACTATAAACTGATGAAGTGAAAAGTATTCAAAGATGAATAGCAATGAACGTCAGCTCTATAACTACTGTTAACAAACTAGATAATAAATGCTATTCATTTAGGCGGATTATCATCAACTAAACCATCGCATTTAGTATTCAAATCAAGAATAGTTAATGATTAATTGAATTATGTCACAATGTTGATTAACTTCTGGTGATAAGATTCGATAGATCCTTTTTTTTGTTGCAGAAAACTGTAACCGTCAAATTTTATAGTTCGATTTTCTCCCTTCTTAAATCCTAATCAGCTTTTAGCTAATATTTTTGTAAATAATATAAATTACTAAATAAACAGAACTATTGTTCACTGTAACCCATAGAATAGTATTTGAAGTTTAATTTGACGTCTTTTCATCAATGTTGAAATTGTTGAAGTGGACTTCATCTTCTACTTATAAACAGCTTTTCAGTAGTCAGTTATTTCTTAGTTATTTACTTTATTATTTTATACAGGTTGTTATACGTAAACATGCAACTAGACGTCTGTATGAAACCCGTGAACGTCAATATGCTTATCAACATGGAAAAAAATCAACAACTTCATCAACTACTTTGCATAAAATACCAAATTCATCACCTGGTAATTCATTTATTTTACAATAAAATTTTAGTATAAAGGTTCTCAAGAAAATAGTTCAGTGAAATTTGAAATACCTCAGATTATAACAACACCCAGTCTACCATATATGTTGGATGATAAAGAGAAAAGTTCGTCAAGTCAGTTAATACCATCAGAATCAACCAATCCAGTAGAATCGACTTCAAAAGACTTAACAGAATTGTGAGTCAGAAGATTTGTAACAAACAATTATAATTTATGTATTTTTCGAATGAATAGAAATTTTAATCTTAAGGTAGTATTCATGATGAACTGATATCAGTTGGGAAACCATTAGAAATATTGGCGAACTGGTTATCTGTTCCATCCTAGCATTACAGTCTTTAGCAGTACGCATCTACGAAGTGACTCAGTGACTGGATAGCTGACGCGTTCATCGCGTAACCTGAGTGTTTTCAGTTCGATAGATAGACGAGTTATGAGTGCACAGTAATGAGAAGTCTAATACTAGGTCGGAAAAGCTGCTCAGTGCTCTCAGTTTTCCAATGGTTCCCCAGTTGACGTCAGTCCATGATGAATACTAACCTAAAAATTATAATTTATCATTATTTCTTTCAATGCCTCGAGAGTTGTAGTTTTGAATGGTGGATATGATGTGTATGGTTGCAGCATAAACCAAACCATTTAGTTCATGGCCACGATAACATATGTATTTCAATCAAATAGATAAAAAGAGAACAAGCTTTACCTCTGAAATTTTCTAGTAACAGTTTTCCCCATTACTTGTATCCTACAGTACACTCGCTTATAACGATAAGAAACTTCACTGGTTAATGTAAACATTAGTATTTCCAGAAATGAAGATACACTAATTTTAATATACGCTTTAATTATGTTTCCAAAGTTATGCAAACTAGAACTGACATCTTGACAATGTTTTTTTTCGTAGATAATGATCTTAAATTTAAGAAACCCAATGTGTACACTTCGTGTGGCAGAGAAAAGTATTTGAAAAAAGATAAGACTGGCAAAAACTAATTTTATATCTTCTAGAGGTTTTATAGATAATATCTCCAAACTAAGTTAGATTTTGGTAATTTGCTTAGTTGTGGCTAGTAGATGAATTTAGGACTCCAGTTTTGTCCTTTTTAGGACTCCTCAGCTGGATGTAGTAGCGCCCCAGTGAGTGCTGAGGTTCAAATTCAAGTGGGCACAACATCACTCACTAGGGTGCAGGTACGTCCAGCTGACGAATCCCAAACTGGACGAAGCATGCATCCTAAACTCATCTACTAGCCCTAACTAAGTAAATTACCGTAGTAACTAATCAAGTAATATCGAGGCATCCTCATAGGAGCCCATATACCAACATAAGTTGAACAATTCGAACCGGTATAACAACGAAGAATTACAGGCACATCAACAAATAAGTTCAATTCTATTGAGATAGTAGACAAGACTTCAGGCTCAGGATTAGGATAATAACCGTTTTGGTGTTCTCTGAGCCTTGAAATTTCTTTCACCATTCATCACCGAGCTAGGTGACTTCATCAGTATTTGGTTGTTGAAACTGTTCAGATGTATGACTTGCCATCTATATTTCTAACATAAATACAAATAAAAAAATAAAGATTCGATGTCAGTTGGTTGAAGACCGTCTGCAGAAACCCCCTGTTTGACATAACCTTCATGCTTTTCGGCACTTGTCAGTTAGGTGTATCTGAAAGCACGAGGAAACTGATGTTACGTATGAGATAAAACCTGAGTCACTTAGTACTGTAATCAAAGACGCTACCGTTGAGATATTCAGGCGACGACTGACGTCCTTTAAGAATGCATTAGAAATACCAAGTGGTCACTGAAAGGCAACCAACTTCATATTGTCTATTCCTGAACCCTGATTGAATTCTATCGAACATTTTGTAGTGCTTTACCTAGGCTGGGAAGCTTTTTATCATGGTCCAGGGATTCTTACCGATTGCCATAATGGTGAACCTAAAGTCTTGATTGCATGATGTTCTCTGCTTAATCGTGGAGCTTTCGTCGTCTTTCTAGACCACATTATCACCACTCACCTCAATATGAAATGAGCTGTCAATATCTATTCGTGAGTATTTCAGTAGCTTGCCTTGACAAACTGGTTTGTGATTGGTTGTTTCCTTTGATTGTTGTATTACTAACTGCAAGTATTTTCTTATTGGCTGTTCCTCTACTTGACCTCTGGCCTTTCTCTCGTTTATCGCCTTTCTTATTGGTTGATAGATCGGGTCTATGTCTATGCACCTATTGGTTGTTGATTTCCGCCGATGACTTTGTAGTTGAAGTTGTACGGGATAGGCATATTTTTGACAAAGTTTCGTGGGTAGCCGTTCTTCTTTCGGATTGACATCAACTAATTTTCCTAGTTTCTCCGCGAATTTGTTGTACTGCAGTGTGTTTTCGCTCTTTTCAATAGAGTTTACAGGCAACTAATTTTGTACGTTGTTGGTTAGTTGCTACTGTAGTTGAGGATTTGGTCAGTGTGTGTTAACTTCCTGTACACTTATCTTCCCAGTTTTCTGACATTTGTCCTACTGCTTAAAATATTCAGGAATGGTGGTTGGTTGTCTGACTGTTTCTCCGTTGTGAATTTGATGTCATTGAAAACGTTGTTGACCAAACTGTAAGCGTTTTCTACATCGTTTTTTTTAATGATGACAAAAGTTTCGTCTACATAGAGAATCCAAATTTTTGGTTTGATCACAGGTAGAATGATTGCTTGATGTCCACATTGCAAAAATGATCAACAGAAATCGATCAGCACTCAAGATCTAAGTAGCATGAAATTGGTTGACTTCCAGTGACCAATCAATGTAACTAAAGAATAGTGAATATCACTCATAGTTTAATCAAAGAATTTTTTGATATGAGTTACGCAACATAAAATACTTGAAGCATGAAATTTCAATAAGATGCATAGAATCAAGTATAATTTGTTAGTATGTGGGAATTTAGGAGAATAGGAGAATGAAAATAGAAGGTAGTTTGGAAAGTCAAAGATTAGAAACGTGATTTGATTACGCAGTCGGTGTCGATGGGGTTCTCACTTATTCCACTTCTTATAGAACCGCTGACACCTTATTGTGTTTTTCAATCTTTCTGAATAAGACTGGCGTTGAATGACCAACATTCCTAGCTCCATAGAAGCATGTAAACCCATATGGATACATGGAGGTGGTTAGAGGTCGAACGTTTTCCTTCGGAAGGGATAAGCAATTTGCGAGGATTATTTTTAACGTTGCTGCAAAGAAGATTGTTTGCAGACAGCTTGAAATCCTTCCATTTAGAACGTCAGTTATTAAACCACTTTTCAATTCAAGACTGGCGTAAAGCGTCTTCATTGACGCAGAACTGAGGTGATCTCTCTCAGGTTTTGTCTGATGTCTTTATCGACAAAATGAAATGAATATAAATTTATAATCAGGATTTTTCTTCGACGGTTTATTTTATCGGCTAAAGCATCAACATTGTAGATATGTGGGATGCAGATCGTGAGATATAATGGATTTAATTTTTAACCGATAGACACCCAATTACAGATACTTCCTGGTTGGATCTTCCATATAGTTTTTTCATAAACTGATCTATTTTCTATTACTCTTCCTTTGTCAGCGAGTTTCTGTAAAGTCAAAAAAACTATGAAACCTAGTTCACATGAAATTCAGCAAAAAAAAGGTAATCTGTTGAGACCAATATTTCTGCTTAGTTAAAGATCTTTTCACGGTATATATATATATATTTTAAGAAAAGGTTAAATCACTGATTATTTGTATTCCTTAATGGATTCATGGCAACCTGTTTTGTGTTGCTTGTTTTTTCTGTGGACTAGTTGGCATTCTAGATATGTATACTCTCTCAACTCTACAGAAATATAGTTTCTTTATGACAGTCGTCTTATCTCACTTATAGACAGGAACAGCATGAGACGAAGTATGACAAAATAATATGAGCATTTCGCCTTACAAAACCTCCTCAGTTGCTTAGATCTGTTTTACCTATATAATCAGAGTCAAAATGTTTTCTTAACTTGCACACTAATTTGCACACTAAATATTATGACTGAATTCCTCACTACAACTCAAGACTTCAACACTAATTGCCTAGAATGGTTGAACAAAGACTATCAGCATAGTTTAACTAGATGAAGCTGAAAAACCCTAACCGTTTGTAAACTGACTTTGTGAGTACATTCATTAGGCAGCAGCCTTGTCTTTCTCTTGCTCTCACTTCAAAGGCGTCAATGAGCTTTCCATTCTGAATCACTAAGCGAGTAGCGTCGTCATACAGCTGTTGAATGAGGTTGGTAAAGATTTGTGGCAGTAAAAACGTAGTGGTAAAGTAGCTGTCTGCCAAATTACTTCTCGGTCGACGCTGTTAAAGGCCTTTTCAAAGTCGATGAAGTTGAAACAGAGAGCTGAATGACATTCTATACTCTGTTTTATTATGACGTGTTGCGTAGTGTGGCAATTTGATACACACATGATTGTATGTTTTTGCTGGAACCTTCCTTTTCTGATAGTAATTTTCAATCAAGTGCATCTTTTAGTCTCTCCAGGATGATGTGGCCTAATATTTGGCGACGGGTAGCCAGTGGCATGATTCCGCACTACCTCCTTCAGTGACTTAGATCAACCTTCTTCGGAAGTTTGACAAGGTAGACCTCCTTCCAATCAATCGGCAGATATCTTCTCTTCCTCCCAAACCTTCTGAAGTGGTGGTGTGGTATGAGCATGTTCATTGTTGTCTCTGAGTTTGTTTTCGTATTTCTAGTGGAATTCCATCTCCTCCTGCTACTTTCCTGGATTTCAACAACTTTATGGCGTTCAGCACTGCACTCATGCTTTTGTCGGAGGCCTCGTGTTCACTGCTAGTTCTGTGGCTGGCTCGGCTGCTCGTGGTATTTCCGGACAAGTTTCAGGTGGTGGTGATGGTGGTGGTCAATGCAAGAGTTTTCTGAAGTGTCAACCCATTGTTTCCTTTGTTTCTCCTCTTTGCTAACTAGGTTTCTTTCACCATCACTGATTGGTTTCGTCTCAGTTGATGTCTATCCTCAGAGATAGTAAGCTGGTTATTTGATGTAATGTCGTCAGGTCTCTCATACCAGCATGCAGCCTGTTCTGCTGCAATTGCCAGTGTGTCGTAGAAGTGTTTTTTGACCATACGCGCACTCTTCTTCACTTTTT